TTATTATTATTATTATTATTATTATTATTATTATTATTAATTGTTATGTATCAATTATTATTATTGCTGTTGTTGTTATTATTCAACTGAGTCAATGTAAGGTGGAAGCTAGTATAGTCTGTGAGTTACACCATTTTACACCCATTTGATTAAAGTATTGGTGACAGTATAACGTCAGTAATTCAATCGCATGGTGATTTTTAATACTCTGATTTTGAAGTTTTGTCAATTGAACGGTTCGGACGAAAAACAACTAAAAAGAAACGCTAGGAACAGAATAGAACGGTTCTTAAACGAGGAACGCACAGAATAAAATAGAATAGAACATCTTAGCAAAAGGATGGCATAAAAACATCACCACTGGTGACTTAAAGGTTGTTGCTTTTTTAGTGAGCTTGTAGGATGCATACATTAAATACTGTTGTTTTCTATGGGAATGGGACACTGTGCAAGAGATGTCCACCCACCGATCAGGAAAGACTGGCCATCTCGTCAATTATGGAAGGTTGGAATAAAAATGTAAAACATGCATTCATCACCGCATTTAAAACTGTGGCTCATGACAAACTTTGTAAAAGCTATGGACAATTCCGTCAAGGATTCAAGTACTTGAGAACAAAATTCTCGTCGTCAAAAGAAGAAATCTTGATCGGCCTTCAGATTTGTTTGCTTCTTAAAAATGGCGACCTTGAATCAGCACCTCACGGGGAGGAGAAAGATGCTTGGGAAGCATTCAAGTTAGTGACAGAGGGATTTCTCAGAAACTGAAAGAAAGAAAACTGTGAATAACAAATGAAAAACCTCATCAAGGTTCACAAGATGTTGGAGTGTAACAAGGCGCTTGAAATCCACTTTTTGGACTCATATTTAGACTTTTTTCCAGAGAGTTGCGGCGTAGTCAGTGATGAACACGGTAAAAGATTTCACCAGGATGTTTCAGCCGTGGAAAGGTGCTATCGGGGTGAATGGAGTACAATCACGATCGCAGACCACTGCTGGTCTTCGGCCAGAGATGTTTCTTCAGCCGAATAAAAGTGTATAGTAAAAATGGAGAAAGTGGATGATTAAGAAAACATGGCGTAGTGAGCGTAGTAGAAAAACATTCAATTATTACTTGTTTCATGTATCTTTACAGCTATAGCTAAGGAGCTATTTTCTGTGTGATATTCACGATGCACGACATGAAATTATACAAACATTAACAACTAACCCAGTTTATTTAAGAAGCACACAATTTCTCAAAATTTGTTGATCAGTGTAATCGATCATAAATTTTCAGGAGTGAATGTAGAAGATTTCCACAAAGTGGAGAAGAAGAAATTTATGTTATTGTCATTTCACAATGTTATTTATTGTGTCATACCAAAGGCTGGGCATTGTTCATTTTCTCGTATGGTTCATTAAAGTATTATTGTCGAAGCCACATTATGATTTTACGTCTATTCATATTCTATCCTGCGGTGTGCTTCACTTCGATGCTTTCTAACACATTTCTTTGTTTTCAGGCTTCCTGACTCCAATTTGATCGCTTTATCGTCGGGGATTGCAGATGGGGACGACATCGACTTTCTTCCCGAAGTTCTCTGTCCGTGCTTCCCGTTTCTCGTTCTCGAATTTTTCAAGGCGTTCGCATTCTCAGGGTCCTCGACTATCTCCCGATTTTCACCGTCTCTGATTTTTCACCTCCTCGCAACACTCTAATTTCGTCAATGAAGTTTCTTTCATGAACCGTTATTTCATAGTAAAGCTCTATGATTAACGCCTAAATGTGGGTCTGTCTCCGTGTTTCCCCTATCCATAAAACATAATTCTGCTTGTGTTAATTTTATAGGTTGAGAGAAGTATTTCGTAGCGTGTTGTTCTTAGTATCAGAATTCAGTATATTATCGAGGAATTAAGAATACTATCAGAATTCAATATTTTATCGAACAATAAGACTTTCAGTCGAAAGCAGAATCTTCTCCATTAGAGTCAGAGACTGATGGATATCAATGTCAGTCTTCCTCTGATGTTGAAATATCATCATCAGACTTTTTTGTTTTTGATTCTTTGAAAGGATGAGTATGAATGAATAATTACTTGCTTCACTCATGTTAAAGAACCTTACTCGTTATTAAATTTCAGCTCTGAACCTCTTCCCACTGTAACAATCTCTTTCAAATGCGCTTGCATGATTACAATTTACGTCTTTCTCGGATTAGAATAAAGAAGAACTCTAACTTCAGTATTAAGTTTTTCGTTAAACGACAAAAAAGATCACAATGCATGTTGAATGATGTTGATCAAACCAGCACTACCATCAACTGAACAAAATTATTTCACATATCCGAAGTGTCCCCATCTTAATAGAAAACAGTCGCAACTTGAAGCAGTGATCGTAAGTCGAAGTGAACCTACGCTCTAAATTTTGGTTTTAGTCTATGTTATACGTGAATCGAGGAGTTCACGAACGAAATTTAAGTAAAAACTTATTCTCGATGCTCCAATACTGACAAGTATTCACCGAAATCATAATGGAATTTGTCATCTTCCTAAAATGAGCGATGCAATCAGCCCTAATTTATGAGCACAAATTTTTCATCTGCAGTATATTCAGTTCCGTTTCAGAAAGGGTGCCTGTTATACTTCTAGCATTGATGACGTTCAAAGAAGATATTGCTTAGTGAGGCGCGTTTCTTTAGTCTCAGTTTGTACAGTAGTCCGTAAATGAGTTGTTTGGCGACTATATTTCTTCCAAAAAAGTATTATGATCATAAATTGAAAGTCTTGAGATATGGATTCAATAGATAGATTTTACGTAAATGATTAGTTAGACAAATGACAGGACGTCATGGGAGGAGCATAATTTATAACGTGAACGAATCACTAAAAGTTTTTGGCTTATTAGATAGCATACGGTGGTAAGATGCGCTCGTGTGTTGCTTTGTTGCTCGTTTCGATAATCGTTCACATCGTGTGCTCATCACCAATCTACATGGCCGAGTCGCTGTTATCGAAAGTCAGTTTCAACTATTGCTCTTTGATTTGTTTAGATTGCTTCAACTGTCTTTTTTACAACAAGCATTCTCATTCAAATTAACACATAAGAAGAATCAAAACAAATTAGTTCCTGGATCGTTTAGAATGAATGGGCTTTTGCCATGTGCTGATTCCTAACAACTTATGCACAAATTTCTTATAGCCATCAGGATGTTCCTAGAAAAAAAAACAGTTCAGAAAAACACTATAGGTGCTTTTAGAAAGTAAATTTAATTTTGACTCGTTTGATCGAACCGCAGCTTGATTCATTCATCATTTTTACAATAGGAACAAGATTCGTATGCGTTGATAATTTAATAATTCATTATTTCACTCTCTTCATAAACTGAGTGCCCAATAAATTCATATCCGGTTAAAAAGATGACTCGGGCGAGCGGAGTTTTGAACATCTGAAGATTCATCAAACGTCAAAAAAGTAATTTCTCGGAGTGGTTAATCTTTTAGCTTCCGAAAAAAGAATGAATTTACTGAGTGAGCTTTTCTTGTTTCCCTCTAGATTGTTAGGAGAAAGTGCTACGTAGGAATGAGTTTCCTCAGAATTTTTTTCTTGTTTCCAAAAGTTTCTTCAAAGTTATCAACATTTTTTGAGTCGTTTCTTAAAAGTTCCCTTTTGTTCTATCCTATTCCCCACACGATTTTATGGGATGTTTTATGCTGCACTTTCTCATTCTCAAAACGAACTAATCTAATCTATCCCTATATTGAGCAAATTCAAGCAGTTCTTTCATACTCTGTAGTGGTTGACTGTTCTTCTCTATAGTTGTTCCGTTATATTCTATTCTGTTCCAGTTTCGT